ACTTTGATAGTTGTATTTTTTATATCTGCTATAGCATTTTTCAGAATGAAGATTTTAATAGAAAAGAAAAGGGTAGAGGAAATGATCATATAGTAAGAAGAGAGAAATTACAGCCATTCCTAGCCAGGAGTTCAGTTTATCCAGCTTTCTTCCCCTTTCCCCAGAATTTTGTGCCCAGGTTTCCAAGATGCTCTTCCCATGCTTGAGTCTGAAAAGATTGAGTTTCCCTTAGTTCAGCTACAAGACAAATTAAGAAAAAGACTGGGGAATGATTCACAGGAAGCTATGTGGACTCGCAAATATGAGATGAAGAATCCATTCAAGGAGCTTCCCTTAATGTAATAGAACAAAGAGGTCGGCATTGTCTCATAAAACTGGTTAGATGTTTCTCAATTCATTGCCTTTTGGCGTCCTAGAAAGTGACTCCTGTTTTTATTTTCAGGGCTGTTGCTTCCTCCTCTTCTCTTCTTTGCCTTTTCCCCTTTACTGGCAAGAGTGAGGTTTTAGTGCTGCCAGTAAAATAATAATATGAACTCATAAAACCAACATTGTGTAAATAAAGCTGAATTTCATGGGACAGAAAAAAAAAAAAAAACCTGATGGGAGCCAGGAAAATTCCTAAAAAAGACAAAATGCCTAGCAGTCTGAAATAAAGGTAGCAGTCTCTATCCTAGAGAAAGGGTAAGAAAGAAGAGAAAGAGGGAGATGTAGAATTGGTGGAGAAAAACGTTCACTTTATTTGTTGTTGTTGTTCAGTTGCTAAGTCGTGTCTGACTCTCTGTGACCCTGTGGATTGCACACACCAGGGTTCCCTGTCCTTCACTATCTCCCAGAGTTTGCTCAAATTCATGTCCATTGAGTCAGTGATGCTATCTAACCACCTCATTCTCTGCCACCTCCTTCTCCTTTTGCCTTCGATCTTTCCCAACATGAGGGTCTTTTCCAATGAGTCAACTCTTTGCATCAGGTGGCCGAAGTATTGAAGCTTTAGCATCAGTCCTTATTACTGTACCATTATTTCACAGAAATAATACAAAAAAGTGATAACTCTTTTGGCATATGTTCCGACACATATTTTTCTAAGAAACTTCTCCCCTAGTAATTCCTGGCAGCTCTGCCAACCTTCCCCCAAGTCAAATTCTCTCCTTGAATTCTGAGCTTGTCCAGTGTTTTTCACCAGGCTCCGCAAACAAAGGCACTCCTGAGTGTCCATAAAAAAGTCAGTCCAATGAGAAAGCATATCACTTGGTCTTCTCTAGTGCCAATCAGCTATCTAAACAAATGTCCATATAAGAAGAGCCACTGATTAAATTTGTGATCTAAAAACACACTTTATTCATGAGAGCAGAGTTCATATTTTTTCATACATTTTTCATCACTGTATTTCCAGCTTAGAGTTGACACATGGTAAATAAATGCTCAATAAATTTGTGAGATGGATTGATGGATGGATGACTAAAACCTTAAGGCTACTTCTGGTTCTGAAAGGTGTGGTCATCCTTGTCTTTTCCTCCTGAGACGGGTAGAATAGGAGATCTTGTATTTCTGTGGCCTGGATTATACCACACTGCCAATCTCACATGAGAAAATTCCTGTACAATCTAAATAAAAACTGGTAATCCTATCACTGCCTCTCTCAAAACTTGGTTGTCACTTCTGGGAGTATCTTCAAATATTCTCTTCACTGAAAAACATTTCTCTTGAGTAGTTAGGGGGAAATAACTATATAAATGTTTTTCACTGGATTTCAAAATTCCAAATGTAAGTTAAAACTTCAGATAGTCTAGTCTTTACAAAACATCCAAATTTTAAAAATGTAAACTAGCAGCTAACATTAATTAAAAACAATTTTAATATTTTTGGCAGTTCTCAATCCTTTATAACCTTAAACAATACTATTCATAACCAAAGCCATTCTGATTTGTCTGTTTTCATGTCTTATTTTCAACATGTCTCACATCCTACAGCTGTCTCAAAGCTTTACTCTCTACAACTCAATCTCTTCCTTAAGCTCCCCCATTCAGCAAACCAAGCCTACAAAGCTCTTCCTTGTTTCTCCCCCTCCACTTTTGTTCTACCTCCATTTTTTCTCTCTCTCATAAGTCAGTCTTAGCCTTTTCCAATACAAAAGCTCCATTGAGTTAGTCCAAATCCTCTTTATTAGGAGACATGACTGGAGTTGACACATACAGAATTGTGTTTGAGACAATTTAGATAGCCAGTTGGCACTAAAGAAAACCAAGTGATATGGGAGGAAAGAAATAGAAGGGCTCTGAATTCTCACACATGCACGCATGCTAATCATTTATGAATCCTGTGTAAATGGAATTGAGCATAGCAGAACTCAGGCATAGATGGAAACAGTGAAAGGAAAGATGAGAGACTTGTGAGAGACAGTTTCCAAAAGGAAGTGTCAGCCTTACAAAAGCCAAAATAAGTTTGATGCTACTCTCAGAGGAAAACCTGCAGTCTTTCAGCGTCATCTGTGTACATTCTATTGAGAGTGAACACCTTGGTTCTGGTTAAAACAGCTAATGCTATTGACAGTTGTGCCAGGAAGAGTTAGGATCAACTGCAAACTAATATGGGCCGTAAAATCTAATGTGTTTCCCTAACTTCCTGTTTTTCCTGAGAAGAAAACAATAAATCCTTTATTTTAAAATATTTTTTAAAAAGGACAGTAAAGAGAGATTTGTAAACATTGAGGAAACCCAGTGGAGATTATGTTTAAAATGACTTGTGAAAAAAAGGTGAAACTTAAAGTGGGCTTCCCTGGTGGTTCAGAGGTTAAAGCGTCTGCCTGCAATGCGGGAGACCTGGGTTTGATCCCTGGGTCGGGAAGATCCCCTGGAGAAGGAAATGGCAACCCACTCCACTATTCTTGCCTGGAGAATCCCATGGACGGAGGAGCCTGGTGGGCTACAGTCCACAGGGTCGCAAAGAGTCAGACACGACTGAGAGACTTCATTTCACTTTAAATTGGAAGGAGAAATGTAAGATTTTCAAGTTTGGATTTAGAGAATGGAAAAGTAAATAATTGTGAGGTTAGAAAGCTGACAAAGCATGGCTGCCCTCTGCATTTGGGAGTAGAGGGGATTGCTAGAATCGACTGAAAAAAGATGGAGCTAGTATACATCATAAAGCATATGTTTGTAGCTGGAGAAGAGAGAATCTGTAAAATTGAAAGTGTTAGTCCCTCAGTCATGTCTGACTTTTTGCGACCCCATGGACAGTAGCCCACCAGGCTCCTCTGTCCTTGGGATTCTCCAGGCACTAGAGTAGGTAGCCATTCCCTTCTCCAGGAGATCTTCCTGACCCAGGGATTAAACCCAGGATTCCTGCATTGTAGGCAGATTCTTTACCATCTGAGCTACCAGGGAAGTACACCCCAATAAGGCAAAAACAATGAAGCAAGAGGCTCTGCCTAGCTGTTCATCATTGCTCCTAGAAATTAATATTCATTGAAAAGTATGCCCACCCACCCCATTGCAGCCCCTTTTGGTCTTCCAGCCCAAGTTAGAGGTTCTGCAACTTTAGCTCTTCTACAACCTGCTGTTCTGTGACAAAAGTCTATTTTTCTGTTGAGAAGACTCTTGGGTACCCAGGCAACAGAGACACATCTGAAAGAAAAGGTTTTCTGATTGTCCAAGAGGATAACAAAATAAAAGAGCTCTGTCTACAAGACAACCAAAGACACCAAACTGCAATCCTTCTATAAGAAATGGAGCTGCTATCGAAACATGTATATTATCTAGGGTGAAACAGATCACCAGCCCAGGTTGGGTGCATGAGACAAGTGCTCGGGCCTGGTGCACTGGGAAGACCCAGAGGGACGGGGTGGAGAGGGAGGTGGGAGGGGGGACCGGGATGGGGAATACATGTAAATCCATGGCTAATTCATTTCAATGTATGACAAAAACCACTGCAATGATGTAAAGTAATTAGCCTCCAACTAATAAAAATAAATGGAAAAAAAAAAAAGAAATGGAGCTGCTGGTTCTGATGGAGGTGTGTGCTTGTGAAGGTGTGTGTTTGTGAAAATCTGTCTTGGAGGATACAGGACAGCTCAAGAGCAAAGTGAATAGTAAGGAGGTTCTTACCTCCTTAGGGACTGACTTGTTTGTCTCTAGGTCCCCACATCACCTAGCAGGGTACCTTGCATCTCATCTGCCACTCACTAAAAGTGTATTGAATTAGTTCATTATCAAGACAATCCCTTCAGACAAGGTGAGGTGGGTATCCTAGGTGCACTTTAGAGGAGTGATAGCCAGCCTGAGAAAGCATCAGTGTGCAGGTCTGGACTCAAGTCACAAAACTGGATGAGCAAGTTGCTGTGCAGCCAGTGGAGGAAACAGAAGCCGGGGGGTCCTTGGCCATCCCTGTCCTGCTGAGCACTTGGAAAAACTGCAAAAAGGATATATCACCAGGCGAACACCCAAGTGGTTCAGATTAACAGTTCAGCCCTACTAGGAAAATAATTCTAAATTAGAACCAGCACAGAAAGTGAAGTCCTTTCTCCCCCCAGAACCTCTCATCCATCCATCAGGGGAGTGAAGAGAACACTATGGCTCTGTGTATGGACCAAACCTGAAAGACCCAAAGTCAAGGCCAGGGAGGGCAGACCAGAGAAGGAATTAGAAAGGCAAACACGTGTTCGTGGCAACTCCCTTCTCTGTGGACCTGTGCCCAGGTCTGACCCAAACATAGGGCAGCCACAACTTGTGTACCAGGGCAGTATCCTGCCATACAAGTCAGATCCAGGAGTGAGGGAAAACTGCCCACCCGGAGTAGATACTATCTGGAAGGAATGAGCATTTGGGAAAAGTCCCAGTGCTCATTGAATGCCAACCAGTCTCCACCTTCTCCGGCCCCCTCCCACTGGTTCCACCCCTTTCAGCTGCTCTGATTCTTATAAAAACCCCACAGCCTTTCACCAACAGCCTGTAGTTGTCCCTCCCCACTGCTGCCACAGGAGACGGTGTGAGAGACCCGGAGACACCATGAAGACCCTGCTCCTTCTCTCCATCCTGGCTGCCTTGGCCACGGCAGCTCTGTGTTATGGTGAGAACCTGCTCCTGCTGTCTCTCTGCTTTGGTTTTTTCTTTCCTGCCTCTGACTTCAGTTTTCATGGATTTTTTCCTCTCCCTCCTTCTCTTCTTTCCCGTTTGCTCTTATAATCTTACAGGACCATGAATTTGACATTTCCCAAGTCCTTTGAGCACTGATCTGCTCCATCAAGTCTTTTTTTTTTTTCTTCCCATTGTATGTTTTACCTCTTCAATATCCAGACTCTTGTATGTAACTTAATACACAAGTTCTTTCTATGGTAAGTCGCTGTATACCTGGAAACTTTGCTATTTCTGGGGGCAGAGGGGGGGGTGGACAAAAGATATCAAGTCTCCAGCCCCTAAGCTTTCATTTAAACAAATAAGGATGTTTATTTTGACTTTGGTTACAATTGGTTAAGGGTATTGGTTGAATCACTCACCTTTAAGAAAACCAATTTTCACTCGACGTGATATGTATGGCCTTCTCTAGAAACAGGACAATCTCACAAAGTTAACGACTTTTTTTTTAGTGAATGAATTTAAAAATAAAGTTTTACATTTAAAGAATCTCAGAGAAAAATCGCTTTCTTAGACCCTATTGTTAAAAGACCAATTTTGACTGGTTCTCTGTGTTGTTGAATATATGTGTGTCTGTGCGAAGCTAATGAAAAGAAATCTCAGGCAACATGATTTAGGTCATTCAGTCTTATGGTTCAATTATGTGGATATTCTAGGTTTCCTTGAGCCTCAGTTATATTAACAGCCATCTGTAGTTTGCTTCTTAGTCTTGAAATTATTTGCCAGTTTTCTGTATCAGAGTATTTGGTTTTTCACCTTCTTTTTAACTTTTCAAGCACACTCATATGCTTACAACTATGAGTTTATTATTGCCAAATTTACCTGCTTTGCCTAGGAGAATGGGAGAAAGAAGAAATCTTTTCCTTCAGCTTCGTCTCAGTTCTTTCTCTGACCTGGCATCGTGCCCAGTGTGAGATGTCAGCTGAAGCCAGTGGTTTCTGTGGCTGTCAGTTTAACACAGGTTCTTAAGAGGCTTTCAGAACCTCTTAGGAACCTGTCGTGGAGAAGTCCAGCCAAGCCATCTGCCCAGCCTGCCTGGAGAGTCTTGCCTGTCTCCTCAACCCTGTGTCCCTTCCTTGATCCTGTTCTTATTTCAGGTCCCAAGTTAATCAAGCAAGGCTCCCTGGAGACTTACATGTAGCACTTAAATTGTCTTCTTTCACCAGCCTAAAGACTTCATAGCTCTTAGAAAATTTTAGCTTAAACCAGGGCCGCTAGCTCCTTAAACACCAGAAAAACTAAAGAGTAGACATATCCCAGCAAGAACAGAGCTAGAGAAATAGCTCATAAATCCTAAATGCCTGAAATTTGTAATAACCACACTGCTAAATATACCCCTCCCATCTTTTTGACTCTTCCCTTCCCTTCCTTCCCTATATTTAAACTCCTGTGGTCTGTGAAAAGTAACAATAAAATGAATCTTTTTTTTTATTCCAGAATCTCATGAAAGCCTGGAATCCTATGAAATCAGTAAGTAAATATTTGAATTCCTTATTGAAATCTCAGGTATTGAAGAATCTCTCCTAATTCTTAAATAGACAAAATGGTAATACCTATAACAGAGAGAAAAAAGAGGGTATCTTTTGGAAAAGTAAAGTAAATTTTAAAAGTCAATGACTATAAAAAAATCACCAGATGAGCAATTTTTAAATTTGTAAGATGGCAAGTATGCTTTCGTCATACTTAGGAACCATAAAATCTCATTTGGAAATTTTAAGTTGGCACCACAACAACCACACAGATGGAAAATGAGGAGTAGTGACAAATGACAAAGTACATGCTTGGAGGCCAAGTCAGCTGGGAGACCACAGACATCAGCATTCTGTTGGACACTATTGAATATCAACTTATAAAGACTGAGTAGAGAAATAAATATCATGCTCATCTTTAATTTGTTTATTATTTTATGATGTTGAAACTGTTCATTTACTGAAAATCTAAAATTATGTTTTACGAGTCCTCAGGACAAAGAGGATTTCTCCTCACAGGAATAAAAAACACACTCGAGTAGAAATACCAAAATCGAGAGAGGCAAAATGATGACCCAAAGCAAAATAAACAAGCAAGGTCTATTGTTGCCTGTGTGCCAAGTGTTTAGTAACCCACATGTAGGTTATTAATTTCTTTGGATCAGGCAGTTTACAAAATTTGCTTTATCTCCCCTTTACTCTTCATAGTTACATGAAATGCATAAATGAATGAGTGAGCTTTCAAAGATATTTGCATCAGAGAATACTCATGGAAATATTTTCAATGACTGATTGCCTAAAATTGCACCTATTTTCTGTTTTAAGATCCCTTCATTAACAGGAGAAACGCTAACACCTTTATATCACCACAACTGAGATGGAGAGCGAAAGCCCAAGAGAGGTAGGTGATGACACGTGATGGGGGTCATCATTATTCCCAGATCTGAATGGAAGGAAAAATGGGTTTTTTTTCCATCGTATATATTATTTCTAAGTATATTCCAAAATCAAAGAATTTAAAAACAATGTACAAAAACAACTGATTTTCTAGAAGACTATTTTGTGAATGGCCCAGAAAGGAGAGGGAGGGAGGAGGTAAAGTAGGAAAGACAGAAAATTTATATTTTTATTGAAAAAGAAAATTCCCCCTCTTTTACTTTTCCTGCTTGTTCTGTAAATATCTCTTCATCTTGGGGGAATCCCAAGACTCAGACTATAAAGAATCCACCTGCAGTGAAGGAGACCTGGGTTTGATTCCTGAGTCAGGAAGATCCCCTGGAGAAGGGAATGGCTACCCACTCCAGCATTCTTGCCTGGAGAATTCCATGCCAGAGGAACATGGCTGGCTATAGTCCATGGGGTCACAAAGAGTCAGACACACCTGAGCCACTAACACTATGGGATCTCTCCACGATATTTTCGTATTCTTTTTTTCTTACTTCTGCACTTTCTTTATGCCTCTCAATTTGAGCTTCTTCTTCTTTTTTTTTTCCCCTCACTTTCTAGAATCCGAGAACTCAACAAGCCTCAATACGAGCTCAACCGGGAAGCTTGTGATGACTTCAAACTTTGCGAACGCTATGCCATGGTGTATGGATACAATGCTGCCTACGACCGTTATTTCCGGCAGCGCCGAGGGGCCAAATGAGACTGGACAAAAGTCTCTTTCTTTCCAGAGCCTGGTGCCTGGTTTTATATTCCCTTGCACTAGCATTACTGAACTATATAGAAACATACGAATCGCTTAATTGTTCCTTAAATGTTTTTGTCTGGCTGCATCCCTCTTTCCTGCCCACAGGTTGAGAAGTAATGAAAATGAAGCGAAGTGAAGGTCAAGGGGGAGTTAGGATGTGTGATTCTTCCATAATAAACTTCTGGTTGGATACTTACATTTTGAGTCTGATTTCTTCTGGGAAAATACTGAGATATTTCAATCATGGCCCACCTAGCCCAGAACGGGAGATTCTGTTAATCGTGTTCTAATGCTGATTAAGTGCACAGGAAAAAACTAACTTAGAAGACACTTGCCCAGCTGTAGTTTGTCTAGACTCTCTCTACCTCGGGATCAGTGAATGGCTGCTTCCTATTATGTGTTTTCCAGGATTTTCAAACATCTTAGATGATCGACCATATGATTTTCCTGCTCCCAAAATTTAAATGGCTCCTAAATTCCTTCTGTGTGGATTCTAGATTCTGTACCCTGGCTCATCACCCTCACCTGAATATTATCATATCCTAAGAGGCTACAGTTTTGACTCTTTCTGGAACCAAGAAAATATGTGTGCTTTCAAAATCACTCAACATTTTTAGAGGATTTGAGCCTGGATTTTGGAGCCATACAAAATACTAGAGCTCCCTTCAATCTGATTTGCCAATGAGGAGGCTGCAGAGTCTCCTACTTGGTAATTAGGGACAAAATCCAGGATTTCTCAATCCCCATTCAGACCTTGTTCTTCTCTGCCCTGAGGACTAGTTCATGTCCATCTCTGCATCCATTCCTTCCAATAGGCCCACTGCCTTCATCGCTTTTGTGCAGTATCTTTCTAAGCCTTCAAAACCCAGCTTAAGATTCAAGCACTTTATGAAATCTATAATGGTTAAATCCACCCAGCTCCCATCACGCTACTCAAGCCAGCATCCAGCCCCTCAAGATTCATTTAAAGTCACTTTGCTATAGAGCAGTGGTTGGCACAACATTGTAAATCAACTATATTTCATGTTAAGAATGTATGTATGTAAATATTCAAGTACAATGATATTGTTCAATTCATGTTTTGATTAAATTTCTTTTTATGTATATTTGTCTAACATTATGGTAAATTCTTGGAGGGTAGGCACTGTAACTGCAATTTCTTTTCTTTCTATAACCTTGGTGCTATGTTCTGGCTGTAAAGGGTAATTCAACGAAAGCAGAAAAAACAGACTGACAGTCATGGGGAATGATCAGCCAATTCTGAAACTGATTCATCACAATAATGTGTTCTATAATTTCAACTATCATTGTATTAATATAATGATGGGTGTTTTACAATTTTCTAACCTTTTTTGCAAGCTCTAATTCATTAGATCTTAGAACAATGCAGAAAATATGTAATATTAGATGGTAAAATAGAGACTCAAAGAGGTAACTTTCTGAAGATACTGTAGTAAATGCATGTTGGTGTGGTCTGGTCTGTTTTTCTTGTTCTGGGGTTTATTGAATTCTTGAAATGCATTGGAGTTAGAAAATTTTCAGTCATTATTTCTTCAAATATTTTCACTCCTTCACTCCTCCTTTGGAGATTGCAGTGACATGCACATTAATCACTGGCAGTTTTTCCATAGCTCCATCATATTATTTTCATTTTTATAAGTTGCTTTTTCTCTACTGTTTCATTTTTATTTCTTTTAATGTATCTATAAGTTTACCAACTTTATCTTCAGCAATGTATAATTTAAAATAATTTACTGTTAATTCTATTGAATGTATTTTTCATCTCAGTCATTATAGTTTTCATCTCTAGAAGTTTGGTATAGGTGTTTTAATATTCTCCATGTCTCAACTTTTTTTAACATATTGGATACAGTTATGGTGACTATTTGCTTCCCTGATGGCTTAGTGGTAAAGAATCCACCAGCCAATGCAGGAGACATGGGTTCAGTCCCTGGGTTGGGAAGATCTCCTGGAGAAGGAAATGGCAGCCCACTCCAGTGTTCTTGCCTGGAGAATCCCGTGGACAGAGGAGCCTGGTGGGCTATAGTCCATAGGGTCACAAAGAATCAGACACAGCTGAAGCAACTTAGCATGCACACACTAACTTCCAAGTATTAAAGTTCCAAGAACCAGATCTATGACCATCATTCAGATAATAAAGTGGGGGCCCAGGGTCCGTAAGTGCCAGACCTCTTATATATTATACAACACTAAATTCATAGTTTTTGAGCTGGCAAGGAGCTCAGCAATAACCTAATTCAACTCCTTCCTTTTAACTGAGTAATTTGAGAGCTAAGAGACTAAATGACTATTCCAAGGACAGGTAATTCTATCCTCTTAAGAAATTTGCTTGTATTGACCTCATAAAAATCTAAGCCCTTAAGTCAATTTTTAAAGGGCTATAAACAAATGGTCCATATATTTGTATCAATCTCCAATTGGGTATAGTCACACTTCCTCATCTGATAAAGTTATTTTTAATGTAGTTTCCACCTCAGTCAGAGTTCATCTATCTACATTCTCAGTTCCCTTTCTTTTTTGGTATATTCTGGTTTTTCCAGAGCTAAGACAGATAAAGTGATAGCTCACAGGTCTTACTATTTCCCTTTCATGATCTTCGTAAGTCCTTTCATGGGAGTAGTAAATCCTGGGAACCAGAGAGTGTTTAAACACAGACAAGATATTCTGCTCCCATCCCATAAAAGCAATTTAGCATTTTAGCACAGCATTTGAGAATTATAAAAACTACAGAACTGGGTCTCCCAGTTCCACCACTTGGAACTGTGAAATTCTCTGTTAATTCATCTTGCTGTACCTCAGTTTCCTTATGTCAAATAAGGTGATTCTAGTTCCCACCTTAGAGTTGTAAATATTAAATAAATGAATATATGTAAAATGCCTGAAATACTGCCTAGCATAGAGTAAGTGCTAATAAGTGTTAAGTATTTCTTCTGTTATTTTTTATTGTACTATTACTATTATGATAAAGCACCATACTCTGGATCTTAAAAAATGACAAGACAATTTCTCTTTGGAGAGTCTCATTTATATCTCAAAGGCAGTCTTAATAACAAAAGACTATTGGTAGCACCAGCCAGCTTGTACCCACGCCATTCTTCCTCTCTTCTACCTACGCTGACAAAGCATGTGGTTTCAAAAGATCAGGACAGGATTTAAGGAAAACGCATGATCTTAGCTTTCATGCTCGACTAGGCTTGTGATTCTTATAGCCACACTTTTGTATCATGATAAAATATCCACAATAGAATGGAGTTAAACTTAAATACTTACATAGTAGTAGTATGTTCAAGCACTTTTTTCATGCATCAGTTCAGTTCAGTTCAGTTCAGTCGGTCAGTCGTGTCCAACTCTTTGCGATCCCGCGGACTGCAGCACACCAGGCCTCCCTCTCCATCACCAGCTCCTGGAATTTACCCAAACTCATGTCCATTGAGTCGGTGATGCCATCCAACCATCTCATCCTCTGTCATCCCCTTCTCCTCCCATCTTCAACCTTTTCCATCATCAGGGTCTTTTCAAATGAGTCAGCTCTTCGCATCAGTGGCCAAAATACCGGAGTTTCAGCTTCATCATCAGTCCTTCCAATGAATATTCAGAACTGATTTCCTTTAGGATAGACTGGTTGGATCTCTGTGCAGTCCAAGGGACTCTCAAGGATCTTCCCCATCTCCACAGTTCAAAAGCATCAATTCTTCAACACTCAGCTTTCTTTATAGTCCAACTCTCACATCCATACTGACTACTGGAAAAACCATAGCCTTGACTAGACAGACCTTTGCTGGCAAAGTAATGTCTCTGCTTTTTAATCTGCTGTCTAGGTTGGTCATAACTTTTCTTCCAAGGAGTAAGCACCTTTTAATTTTCACTCATACATCTACCTTTTCAATAATAGAAATATGCAAGTAATACTGTTGTTCTACTCTGAATTTTTGAGCACCATGATTATCCATCATTAGTAGACTTTCCTTCAACTTCTCCATCTTACTACTTCTGGCCTAGTTCTTTGTCACATTGTAACAGATCAGGATGAACTCAGCCTGTAGGAGGTAGCCATTGCTGGGCCTCATTACTCTGCTCCCTGTTACTAGGCAACAGGTCTTGCTCAGCCATTGTTCAGGTGCCTCAGTGGGACTTTCCCACAAGCAACTCACTGTCAGTGAGTGGTCATTAGCTATCCTGCTCAGCTTTTGGTCAGTATTGCAATGGGGCCTGCCCACTGGTAATGATCAATGAGGAACAACTGGGAGAGTGACTCAGTCAAGGGTCAGTGGTGTGGTGGTCGTCAGGTGGAAAGTAAGAGGCAGATTCAGGCCTTCTGCTGGAGGCCCTCCAGCTCACCCAGCCTTGGGCCAGTGGGTGAGCCAGGGGGCCCGGGGAACAGACTGGAGACTACATCCTGGGGGCTCCAGAGCCCTGACTAAGGCCCTCCACTAGCCTTGGCTCAGGCCTTGAGGAGTGGTGAACCTCTCCCCCATCCCTGTTTCTGTGACCTCCTAGCAGTGGCCATCTGTTTGGGTCGCAGTTTGTGAGACCTGGTCTCCCCGTTTGGGCAGCTTGAGGAGACTGGGACACTTGGGTTGGATGCCTGGCTCCCTCAAAGATGACAGCTGGGCAGGATGTGGGAACCTGGCCCTGAAGGAGCTGCCAACTCAGCTCTGCCTCCTCTTAACCAGGACTGGGACCTTGGAGTGTGAAAGTTGTGCCTTGGGGCTTTACCCTTTCTGGTCAGGACAGAGAATAACATTCATCTGGTAGAAATTTACAGGAACATCATTACCTGACCATGACCAGACCTCAAGAAAAAAGGATCTGACACCGAGAAGTCTGCAACAACTAACCATGCCCATCCCTCACCTTTGCCTTTAAAGGGACTTGCTGAAAGCTTTCAGTAACTTTGGGGATCTCAGGGCATGAGCCACCCATCTCCTTGCATG